TTGGTGGAAGGAGCAAAATGCAGCTTGTTGCATGTATACTGGTGACTCACTCTTGCCCTAATTGCTCCATATGTATAGTGGGAGGAGTCACGTCTGTAGGCATGCTGCTGCTTCACATATACACACTGAAAACCAAAGTACACACAGAGATTGGGTCACTCTAGAGGGAGTGATTGTGCTCACCGGAGGTCGGCGGGAGGCTTTTACAGGCCGTTATGAAGCCGGCTCACTATTCCTGGAAGAGTGTTGGTATCTTTTGATCAAATTCCACCCCACTCTCCAGTAGACTACTTCCTATGAGTTGTGGGCTAATTGTGCCGTATGGACCTTGTGTGATTTGTGTGTGTGTGTGTGTGTGTGTGTGTGTGTGTGTGTGTGTGTGTGTGTGTGTGTGTGTGTGTGTGTGTGTGTGTGGTTGAGCAGAGGCCTTTATTTCTATCTTTGATTGATTGTTGTCATATTGCTTGATTATTGAGTTAGCAAAGTGTGTGGCTTACTGCAACAGCTCAGAGGAGAAAACACACACACACACACACACACACACACACACACACACACACACACACACACACACTAGAATTTCCTATGTGTTAAACTTCTTAAACTCAATAAACAGTGGAAATGTTTCAGTGGAAGGAACTGATGTTTTTATTGAATTCACCATAGTATCTGGGGCGTGATTGCAGATGCTCTAATTTCTTGTTTTTTTTACTGCTGTTTTCTCAATAAAAATATGCAATGTTGTCCTGATACAACTTGGAGCTTCTAACACATTTAGAAAATTTTTATTTTTTAACCATCAGTATTATCTGAAGTGTCTAGTTCGAAACTCAAACATAAACAATTAGCTCTTCCTGAATCCAACATCCTACATTATGGGTGATTTGTTCTGACTGGGAATAATTCTCATTTTTTTCGGGTTTTTATATAAATTTGTTTCATCTAAATGACTTTATTGTTGCAACCCTCTTGTTAGCCTGTGTTAATTAAAAGAAATAACAACGCATGAATGGCAGGACCCAAAAGAACACTGTATTAGTGCAGGGTGATCTATTCAGTGAATTTTAATTTATAGCTGATTGGTTTTGTAGTTGCATTGCCAATTCAGGGGGAACCCAAAAAAGGAGTGAAACCATGCTGTGATTGGCACGCCAAACCGAAAGAGCGCTGTGATTGGCACGCCAAACCGAAAGAGAGCTTTGATTGGCACGCCAAACCGAAAGAGTGCTGTGATTGGCCCACCACACCGAAAGAGTGCTGTGGTTAGCTCGCCAAACCGAATAGAGATGTGATTGGCACGCCACCAGACTGACCTGGTCTGCGGAGGTACCAGTGGATCGTGATTAGACTGACATGCGGAGCAAAATCATTTTGCTTCTGCTGAAGTTCTGCAGCAGAAAGTTCCCCAGTTCTGCCCTGGTTGTCTGAACTGTTCGCAGGAATCGTTCATGGAGTTTATGTCAGTATCTTTAGAGCTGACTAAGTTTTAGCCATTTTTATATTTGGTAAGTCTGATTAGCTGTGGGGACCATCTGAACTTTGATGAGTTGTAGCTGCACATGTAAGGATTACCTTCTGAATATTTCATTAAAATCCTTCCAGCTGCTCATTGAACATGTTTATGATAAACACACAAACACAATCATGCTAATTCAGCAAGGAATGATAAATGAAAGTAAAATGGAAGAAGAATTAATGAGGCATGCATCTGTCATCTATTTTAGACCTATAAACACTAAATAAGCTGCTCCCTGACTGCATCTTCTCCAACATCCTCCTGCTGGTGTGTTACTGTGCTCTCATGACCCACAGCTGACCAGCAGATCTACGACTTCTTTAGCCTTATTTATTTCCTTCAGTCCTTCCTCTATCCTGGGGATGGACAGAGGTTATTGGAAGGGAAAGGAGCTCAGTCTATAAACACAAGCATATGCTGTTTTTAATTTTCTTTGCCATACATTTTTCCAGATTTTTACTATGTTGTAAAAATGCTCCTCATCTATTTGAAGTTTCGTTTCCAAAAGAGTCTCTTTCCTTCCTTCTCTTTTCCCTCTTCATGGGTGAAAGGCATTTTATTTTAAAGACATTCCTTAACTTTCATTAGATAAAACTTGGTACTGTTCACTCACTTTCTCATATGTTAATTCACACCCCCACTGTGGAGCTATAACCTTTGCCCTTCATTCAAACAAGTGTTAACTTTTAATTGTCACACTCTTTTTGATCATTTCTCCCCTACTGCCACTGTCACCCTGTCTCATCAAGTTCCAGCTACCCATTCTGTGACATTAGGCTGAGCAGCCACTGCTGTCTGTGTGTGTGTGTGTGTGTGTGTGTGTGTGTGTGTGTGTGTGTGTGTGTGTGTGTGTGTGTGTGCGTATGCGCGCCCAGTGGTGTGTTCCTTCCATCATGACAGAAACGACATTTCTTCCTCCCTCATCCATCTTCAAACGTTTGGCTCTAAATGACGTGTCAACACACGATGAAACGTGTTTTTTGAACACACACACACACACACACACACACACACACACACACACACACACGCACACACACACACACACACACACACACACACACACACACACACACACACAGGGAATGGAGTGGAAATGGATTGGCACTGGAGTTTTAATTAAGTAGTCAACAAGGTCTCTGTTAACTTTTCCTAGAATACTCTGATCAGGACATGTGAATGGGTTAGTCTTAAAGAGTTGATGCTGTTTTGTTTGTTTTCAAATATTTGTTTGTTTGTTTTTTGGCAAAGATCCTAGCAAGCATAGACACAAAGAAATAATGTGTGAATGTAAAACAATACAGCAGTAATAAAGAAATAAAATTGCCCCTTGCCCCTATAGATCCTCCACCAGAGGGCAATAGACATAGATAGAACAGGAGTTTACAGGTTCTTCATGAATATACTAATCCTGTTACTTCACCTGGCCTTTTTATAGCTAGATGATGTTTCATGAGATTTTGTGACAATAGTCTATATGGGGTTGATATTAAGATGTGTACTATTGATAGTGATAGCCTCAAAAATACTTCCTAATGGGTCAAAGATCTCATTCTTCCAGACATGTCAAAGGTCACTGGTATAATTCAGCTCCATAAAGGTAATAAATCGTTTTCGTTGCTGGTAGCCATTGGCAGGAAGTTTGGAAATGGTGATCTCATCTTTAGCTCAGCGGGATTTCCATCAATAAATCTGTAATTGTTTTCCAAAACTCCTAGTCCTACCTCTGGGTGTTCACACCATTAGAAAGTAAACAATTGAGCTGCTGTTCCAAGATTCTTGGCTGGTCAAGAGGGGAACACATCATCTCCCGCAAACTATTAAAGTGCATGCTGGAAAATGTTCCTTTTTCATTATTAGTGATTTAATCATTTCCCATGGTGATGCAAAAGACCAGCCTGACTCAAAACTCATATTTAGCATATACCACAACAGAAGAGATATCATTCAGAATGAAGGGTTAATATTTAAGAGTGCATTTCAACCTGAACTTTGATATTTTCTTTCGGACTATTCAGGGAGTTTAATTCTCAAATGCAACCAGTTTTGTTAAATCAAATCACTTTTCATGTTCAAACCAAACAAAAAGGGAGAAGTAAAGAGAGAATCAACGAGGTGAAACAAATTAAAACAACAATCTCACAGGTGTCTACCAAGTGTTTACAGCATTACCTCAGACTGTTTCCTTCCCTCCTAACAGAGACTGTGGTGCTTGTTCATAAAGCATTTACGCGAGGCAGTAATTTTTCATATTTTGACACTCCTGGCATCAACAAAATGCCAGCACTTGACCCTCAGGGAATGAGAAGCGCGTGGACGTGACCGCGTTGTCAATGGTAGTTAACAGCTAAAGGTTTTTTTCATCAGGCAGCATTGAGGCTATATCCAGAGAAAATCTCTCTCTCTCTCTCTCTCTCGCTCTCTCTCTCTCTCTCTCTCTCTCTCTCTCTCTCTCTCTCTCTCTCTCTCTCTCTCTCTCTCTCTCTGTATGTTTATATAGTAATATGCATCTTCTGATGTACAGTTTAAATTGACTTATTAGAAATATTTATACGTTTGAGAAGCAACTTATAGGAATCTGAGGACTTTCTAACATGTCCACAGAAAGACTGCCAATTCAGCAGGTGTATTTGCATTTGTTTTATTTTTATGAAAGTGAATTTTCTTGCTTTTTTTTCAGTAAAGTATTTTTTTTTTTTTTGCAAGATCAGCAAAGTGATGTAGAAACTGGCCTGAGGTGTTTCATTATTCATAAATGTGAAGCAGAATTAGAAAGATGACTTTAATTTGATTCATGCATCATGGGCATTGTTAAGCCCCTCTGCAACCTCACAGGCCTTACTGGAGTAGTGCAAAAGTCTACGTCCACCTAATTGTGTTAACTGGCTGACGATTGTTATGTTTTAATGGTATAACCTGGATGTAGTTGAGTGTTCTAACATGGCAAAACCCCTAAAACACAACAGAACTGGTTTCTTATTGGACAAAGCAGGCTTTAACCTTCCTGAAGCACCACCCTCATCTATACTGAAATCTGAGGATGTAGTTGAAAACCTGACTTTGTGCCAAGCAACCAACTCTTCTTCCAAAATAAGCTGTCAAATAACAGCCAGAACTATTTCAGAGGCATGTTGATGGCTACATGCATGGTACAGTGTGGAAAGGGCCTTAAACCAAATATTAGTGGAGATGTATTTTTATGTTTCAGCCCACATGTATAATTTTGACTCTGTGAAGGACAGAAAATTCACTTAAAATTCAAACTTCTGTTTCATGATCAAAAGAGTATAATATAAAAGACTTCACTAATGCTCTGAAGTTGTATGCTGAATAATCTTTCCACCCGGGCAACAAAACTGTTCAATCCACCCTTACTTTGGTCTCATTTGCCCGTGTTGAGTGCATGCACACTTCTGACCAAATCTGTGATTCACACCTCGCTTAGAAGTCACCCTGATAACTTTTTGTTGCTTTTTTCTTCCAGCTGTTGGCTTTGGAGCGGCAAGTGTTTGACTTCCTTGGTTACCAGTGGGCCCCCATACTCGCTAACTTTTTCCATATCATTATTGTAATCTTGGGCCTCTTTGGAACCATCCAGTACCGGCCACGCTACATCATAGTGGTGAGTATGCCAAACTCACATGACTTCACTTCTTTCCCAGTTTCAATCTGCTTTTGCCTTTCCTCATCAACTCTGAACTGGTAAAGTCTTTTGTGCATTGTGCAACACCCTTAAATCACTCTAATCTCTTGGTAATTAGAGCTAATTAAAGGGAGTGAGATCTTGAATGGGGGGGGCTAAGGAGCTAATCTGATTTAAACTTGGCTTCAAGCGTCTGGACAGAGAAGGTCATTCTTTAGAGCAGAAAGCAAATCATGTGCTGCCTGCTGTTCACTGCACACTGCCAATATGAATGATTAGAAATAAGCTTTAACACCCTTCAGTTTGTATCTGACTCTGTAAAATTCATTTGATTCATTATAAACTGTGTTTTTGAGCAGCATTAGTAGAATAGACAGATGGTGGTGCTAATGACAGGAAAGGATTGTGGGAGTAAATATTAGACAGGAGAGAGAGAAAAGAGTTAACAAAGAGAGACAAGGGAGATAAAAGGGAACTGCAGCGGATATGAAGAAGAAACGGAGGAAGGTGGGAAAGTTGAAGCTATTGTCTCATGTCAAGTGGGAGGGCGCTGGCTAAAGGGAATCATGATTCAACACGTATGTTTTTACAAAGCTGCTGCTTTGCCCCTTTGCTCTTCCTCTGACCTTTTAAACACAAGATTTCTCTGTGATTCAGAGGATTTCACAACCTTCAGCCTGATGAGTCTGTCAGTGAATACCACCCAGAGCCGCTCTGTGTCTGTCAGCAGTTGGCCGTCTGACTGTAGAATTTCTTTAATGGTTGAGTCGTGAACTTCACTCAACCTCAGCAGTTTGAAAACCCACAACTCCCACAGGGTTCGAATAGGCTTACTCAACTTACTGGCATCTGAAGAAAAGTGAAGTGTTGTGTGCATATTTATATATGTTGCTTTTCGCAGCATGAGCCTGACAGATACCGGCTTGTTGTTTTATGTTGCTGAATAACTTATACTACTTATGAAGTCCTTCATATCTTTGGGTTAAATGATGTGTTGTGTGTTTGCTCTGCAGTACACAGTATGGGCCGCACTCTGGGTAGCCTGGAACGTCTTCATCATCTGTTTCTATCTGGATGTAGGAGGCCTGTCAAAGGTGAGACATTGAAAGTTCTTGCATGCTGTTATCTGGATCTTACATCCTGCACAAGTTAGCTTGGTTATGGCGGTTGGTTTGCACTGTGATGAATGCATTTTTTCCTTTTAGAGTCGGTGGGGGTTGAAGCCTGATTTATATTACTGTGTCCAGGCTCAGCTGCGCCGCAGGTGTCGTTAGGTGCATCAAGAATTCTGGGATTAAAGGTTCCAGCCTGAGTCCTGACCAGTGCACACATATAATCGGGTCTTATTTCTCAGAGAGGGGTTGGCTGTTATTAGTTTTATGTTGAATGGGAATGTTAGCCATTAAAAAAACTGTCAGTAAAACAAGCATAGTTTTTTCACATGGAGCCTCCACATCAGTCCATAAAGTTCTGCTCTTACACATTCAAACCATTTTTTTATTCAGAAAGTTTTTCTGTGTAATTTTAACTTGATGCCCGCATTAATCATTAGTGAAGGAAGAGGAAAAGAAACAGACAAGGCCTGCATGGAGCTTGTCTATCTTACTTGTCTGACACTCTAACATCTGTACGTTCTTTCACGGCCCTTTGTTCAGCTGGACAGCTGCAGCTGGAAGTGCCCACTGCACATCTGACACTGAGGGATCACGCTTTTTCCATCTTGGGACCTAAATTATGGAATTCCCCTCTGATGGAATTTAGGCAGGCTCTGTCTTTCATGCTTTTTAAGAAGAGATTGGAGAAACGTTTTTATTTAATAGCTGTTTAGTGAAACAGAGTAATTGGCAGGTGTTTTATTGTGCTTTATCGTTTGGTTGTTTTTACAGTTTTAATATTTTATTGCATATATATATATATATATATATATATATATATATATATATATATATTTGTACTGTTTTGTACGATGTTGTGTAGCACTTTGGGCTATCCAGGTTGTTAATTAAAAGTGTTAAATAAATAAATTAATGATGATGATGATAATGATGATGATGATCTCCTGCTGTTCTTGAGTGAAAATCAGATTTGTATACATTCAAATGAAAGCCCATTCTTTATTTAAACATCTCAATCCCCCCAGATGTCTCCTTTCTTCTTTTCCTGTCTGAAGCCCCCCCCGTTCTCTAATCCTACCTCTTCCTCTCCTCCTGCATTGAGGAGGGTCCTACCCAACAACCTGCTGACCACTGAGACTAATGAATTCATGTTGGCACCATTCATCTGACACCTGCTCAAGCTGACAAAATGAGTTTTAGAAACACCTTCTGTGGCTACGGATACTTTGTCATTGTCTGATGATCCTTGGCTCCATCGAGTGTGTCCGTCTTTCACGGCATATATCAGTGTGCCTCCTTTATGTGAGTGTGTATGCGTGTGTGTTCCTGCGTTGCTCCTACTAGAATAATGATGCTTGTTGGGGCCAGCTGCTCGGGGCTGAGGTTGGGTATTAACCTGACAGATGGAGCCAGCTTGGGCTCAGAACTCTGCATATGGTGGCCAGGAGGAAAGCTGGCTAATGGAGTGCACAAACATGCACACACACACACACACACACACACACACACACACACACACACACACACACACACACACACACACACACACACACACACACACACACACACACACACACACACACACACACACACACACACAACCCACTCTCCAAATTCAACATATAGTCTTAGTGAGTTATTCTTCCTCAGTCATTTTGGGAAATGTTGACAAGAAGAAGGAAGTGTGTGTGTGTGTGTGTGTGTGTGTGTGTGTGTGTGTGTGTGTGTGTGTGTGTGTGTGTGTGTGTGTGTGTGCGTGTGTGCGTGCGTGTGTGTGTGTGTGTGTGTGTGGGTGGGTGGGTGGGTGGCTTAGCCAGGCCTTCAGAGTGAGGGGACAGGTTGTCACAGTCATGGAACATGCTCCGTCACCTCCTATTGATCCCATATCCCCTCCCCCCACCGTGCGTGACAGGAAGACCGCTGCTATTCCGCGCACACCTCAAGTTAACCAATACGGCTTCATTCATCTTTATTCATTCTCTGTTACTCCTCAAGCACACAATTTTAAACACGTCTTTGCATGTTTGAGTGTCTGACTTGCAATCAAGATCTGATGAAAATACTGCAGATATACTTTCATATTTTCAGCTAATTATTTATTTAGCAAAATAAAATGCAATGTAAATGCTTACATTTAAGCTAGCAATATCCATGCAATGCTGCAGATTGTCATCTTATCTTACTTCTATTTACGACAATCAGTAGCTGATCATCTGATTAATGTAGGTCATTGCGTTTAGGTATACCGGTATGTGTTTCTGATGGTCCAACAGCATTGATTTTCTGTGCATAGTGTGCAGATTTACGCTCTTATTTATTTAAATAATTACAGCAGATCACTTTGAGCAGTGCTTCCAACCTCTGAATAAACACACAACCAGCATGTGTGCACTTCTTTATGAAATTTAATTTGACATTAGGCTGCCAGCAGATTCAGGAGAGACCATAACACCCAGTTAGGTACTTAGGTGATTTCCCTGCTGTGATCAAACGTGATGTATCAGCTCTGGATTTCAAAAGTTGTTGCTAATAACAAATCAAGTAAAGTCGTGTTTTGCTCTCTTAATAATAAAATAACGATTTATTAATAAATTCAGCTGTGCCTCAGACTGGCCTAAAGAAACACATTTGTCTGCTATCAGCAGATTTTCTTTGATATGGAAAAATAGATTTGTCCTTTTTAATGCAAGAGAGCATAACATAGCCCCTCCTGACGGTAAGTTACCCCTCTTCAGTGTTGACTGCAGTCATGAGTGAGGCTGCAACTTAAACATAAATGGTTTCCCCCAGCTGTAGCGTCAATCAATGATATCCGTCAAGTCATTAGTCCTTCCAGTCCCACTTTGACCCTCAGTCGTCCTTGTTTTTGTTACTCCATGTGTGACAAATGATCAAATGGCAGAGATTGATGATGAGTATAAGAAGAACGAAGGATAATCATTATTTGATATTCACCGAGACTCCTCTTAGATACTTTTCCTCTGATAAGAGTGGTATTGAAAGCTGTTGCAACCTTTAGTCATTATGTTTATGCTGTTGATGTGTTTTGTGAGTGGGGGCTGATTGGAATCAGAGATGTTTCCTGACAGCACTTGGTTCTGTTAATAATGCATGTCTTGTCACTGAGGAGCAGATGTGGGGTAAGATTGCTGTGTTGGGGTATTGATTAGTGTCAGTGTTGACCGCCTGTACATGTGTGCTCATGTGGTTGTGTGTTTAGAAATCATCAGCATGAGTTTAAATGCTGGTTCCAAAACAATAAAACTCCTCTTTAGACATTGTGCAGAAGGTATTCTGTTGGATGTTCTTCAACACCGATCAATTTTATTCCCTTGCTCTTAATACCCTGTTACTGACATTGCAGCATGTTCAGCTTAATTAGATTTCTCCTGCCTGTGGATCATAGAAATAAACAAAACCCTCAAAACACAAAATATATGAAATACTGGAAACCATTCTAAATATGGTAGCAATAAACTGGAGGTGGTTACAAAAATACTGAACAAAGAGTGTTTTACACAACAAGAGACATGCAAACAAAGATTTTAACAAAAAAAAAAGTTCATCAAGTTTACTTAATTAAAGCTGTTGTATCTTCCCTGAGACGCTTCTGCCGGAACCGAAAACTTGCGATGACAAACGTACCAATTCTGTGTGTTCATATTTTATAGCAATTCTCTGTTTTCAGCAACCATTACGTATATGTGAAGTACCTTTCCAGACATAAAACGCTTTTCACAGGGCGGCAGATTGAAAACAATGTGACCATGGTGTGACGAGACTTTGATGATGTTTGTTGCATGGAGAACACATCATGTTCTGTAAATACGCTGCTGTGTTTGTGGCTGCATCCCTATAATTTTCTGCATTGCCGCCAACATACCAGACAAGCATGCTTTGAGTCTGCATACTTTCAGTAAAACTGTGGTAGAAATACGGAAACAGTTGGTGTGTTAAATCACGTTTTTTCAGTGTTTGAGGAAAATTCGGTCACAGCCGTGCTTTCTTCATCAGGGCCGTGAGGTTTGTGGTCCATGTGAGAATCATTTGTGATATAAACACCGTGGAGTTTACAAGAGAGACCTTCTGCACCGCTTCACTGTTGATCTCTTTGTTTTCAGACATCAAAGATCACCTTTGTTTAGGAGATGTTTCAGTTATGTGTTGGACACATATCGGTTTTTCTGCAGTTCTCAGCCTTATATACTAACTCATTGATGTTGTGTCTCAGAGCAACAACAGTAGTGTAGTCCTCACACTTACTGACTGCATTAATGCAGTGGGTTGATATGCAGTCACATGTATAAAGGAAAAAAATCAGAGGGATTCAGCACACACCCTTGTGGAACCCCAGTGTTATTTGTCAAGGGGAATGGATGGTTTATTTCCACCCTAACAATCTGTAAATTAGTACATTAATCTTAATGTGTTAAGGTTAAGCTGTTTTTTATGAAAAAGTTTGTCATTCATTTAAAAAATGTACACATTTTAATTTCTGCAAGCTTCAGATAAAAATTACTTCAGTTCCCAGAAATGACCAATTATTTAAAATTCACTTACAAATATCTGAGTACGCATTTATACAAGATACGTTTTTTGTAAACAACTTTAAAAAACTAATATTTAAGTGCATTCTGTCAGTGCACCCTGATTGATTCTGCAAGTATTTAAACCTAAATGTTAAAACTAGTAGATCCTATAGATCAAAGGTAAAAAAAACAAAACAAAAAAAAAACTGAATGAACCAGACGTAACGAGGCACAACCATAAAACATTAAAACCTTTCAAGTTTCCAGAATAAACGTCTGTAACAACTTAAACAATTACTTTATTTATAACGAAAATATACATGTGCCTCATAAATTATGAAAAAGGACCACACAACGACGTTAATGTCTTCTTTTTTCTTTCTTCCAGGAGAGTGATCTGCTGACATTTAACATTTCTGCTCATCACTCCTGGTGGAGGGAACACGGTCCCGGCTGCGTGAGGCGAGAGATGCCTCAGAGCCCCGGAGTCCGCACCACGGAGAGCCACTCCTACATCACTGTCATGGGCTGCTTCATGGAGTACCAGTACATTGAGGTCATGCATAGCAGCATGCAGATTCTTGTTGCTGTGAGTATGCCAACAAGTCTTCTCCGGTATTTTGTTTATACCGTCACTCCTTCCTCTGCTCTGGTCCAAAAATGAAAATATGAACAGTTGTTTTGTCTAGCCCGCCCCCTCGACCTGCTGGACACAAACAGGTTTGTCAAATACTGGAAGGACCTCCATACAGCTTATAATCAATGTAAAAAAATAACTAGCATCCTGCCAAAGTCCTTGTTTTCACACATTCTTATTATGACCGTTGAGCCAGAACAGCTGTGTTTGGGTTTAGAAACGACACAAATTCATCGGTAGAAAAATTCCACGTTCACGCCTGTTTTTTCAGCGTATCTGTCTCATCAAGGCATCTGGTGCTAGGAAAAACCAAGTTGACTTTCATTCTCACCATCATGGAATAATTTAAACCCGGGTAAGCACCGTGACCACCTGCTTGCAGAGGAATGAAATAATCAGAATCACTGGATTGTATCGTTATGGAGAAAGGTATAAAATGACTCAACCCACTTTGCAGCCAAAACAATTCCACTGAACCTCATTAGCCTCCTGCTCTTCTGGCTTTGAATTAGTTGATGCTACACTTAGACCTCCACTCTTCCGTATGAGGACGTGACATTTTTCATGTCATTGTTTAACCGAGCAACCTGCTATGACTACATGGGTGCAGCTCCCTGGGGAAAGAGGGAAGCTGGTTCTGCAATCCCAGAATCAGCAATGGCAGACTGTGTCTCTCAATAGAAATGTTTTAGGTGACAACTGGTTGTGTGACAACTGATTGAAAGAAATCAGCTTTTTATGTAATAAATTGTCTTAATTCAGCAGGATTATTGTGTGTAACGAATGCATGGGTAAAAATGTTGGAGCTGCCCACAGTAGGAATGCCGAGTCGATGTATTGTTCTCAGTTTTATAATTTTCTCATGCATGTTTTAGTATATATATATATATATATATATATATATATATATATAGATAGATAGATAGATAGAGAGAGAGAGAGAGAGAGAGAGAGAGAGAGAGAGAGAGAGACAGAGAGAGATACTCCTGTGCAATTTGTCTTGTTTTAACCATTGAAATACCAGAACATTCAGTTTTGTGATGGGAGCTACGGCTTTTATTATAGTAACTTTAAAAAATGTGGCTCACTCGTTTAACCAATACATTTTCAATGGTCTCTAGTAGGAATGAATGCTTGTAAGTTTTACTCTGGGGGGAAAATATACCGGTGCACCGCTTCCAGGAACTAGCATTGAGCCACATCACAGCTGAACTTCAAACGGCAGGTTTTGGAGTCTTTTTTCCAGATATTTGGACATCTAGCCCTAGATTGGATAACAGCAACGTGACTCTACCACTGACTTGTAACATGGATGTTTGATCTCCACAAATAACACAAGCCTGGAGGAGCTTCTGCTGTGTGGTCATGTTGCTAATGCTAATGGTTAGCTTCTACTAGATGTCCTCTACTGATTACCTGACGTTAAAACAACAACAACCTTCCCTGTTGTGAGTTAAGACCGGTGAGTTGCCGTAGATCTGTCAGGATTTTCAAATCCTAGTATTTCATCGTCTATTTACTCCCAAAAGCTAATGCAGGAGATATTTTCATGTTCGACCTGCATGAAAAATTCAGAGTGACTGATTATAATCAGAAATAATAGTTAAAAATTAGTTTACAGTGAACCGTACCTTTTAACTTTTTAAAATTTGTAACTTTTTTCAGTTTGTTTCGGTCTTCAAATATTGTATAAAGGTCTATTAATGTTGAATCCTTCAACATACTTCCATCTTTAAACTTAGTTCAAACTGTAAAGGGATCAGAAGACATTGTGTTACCGCCGGTTGACTCATTATGTTGTTATTGTGATTCAGAACTCAACATCCACATCATGTTTGCACCAAATCATTGTAGATTGTTTTAAATGTATTAATTCAAACCAGCATAAAATCAAGTTGATCATGTTCACAGCTAAAATGAATGAAAAGCATTTGGTTTCAGTTTGAATAAAACAATGCATAATTTATTAAAGTCATATTTAAAATGTACACGCTGAAATGTGTGGAAGACGGTGGCCAGCAGACAGGTGAAGGTGCAACACTGAATAATTGGAGGTGTACCTTTGTAATTTTAGACAGGCTTCAAGGTCACAGAAAGAGGCCATTAAATATTGAGTTTGTGCTCCAAGAAGCTTGTTTCATTAAGATGAAAAATGGGAATTTCTTGGCGAGTAATGGCGGTATTTGTGACATTCATCAGCTCAGATTTATTATGAGCTGTGAGAAAGATTTGGATAAAAGCGTCTGCTAAGTGAATAAACATAATGTGAATAAGATATTCACAAGCACCAACTGGGCTGATTCTGGACTCTTTTGTTGCTTTTTCCTGCTTTTGGCTAAATTCAGGTAAAAAACAAGTTTCTCCACATTGAAAAGATGAGCTAGAAGTGGAAGCATCATTTTCAAACTGGGGTAGTGAATTATTCATCACTAAGGAGAATATTTTTCTCCATCTCTGCCTCCATTCTTTTACTGAATCCATACATAGTTTAAAAGTTTAGTGTTTTTTTATTTTTTATTTATTTACTGCTGTCATGATAAGCTTATCAGCGCAGTAAGCAGAAAATCTGCTCTTGTTTATTCCTTCAGTTTAGTGTTTACTGCTAAATAAAATATGTGGGACTGAATGAACATCTCCAGTGAGATGGAGAGAGGAACAGAAAGACGTGATCTTCAGTCTACATCTGTAGACATGACTCCAACACATTAATGGGAGCAGTGAAACGTTGTCAGCAGCAGCAGAGCTACCAAAAGCCAGAGGAGCAGCTATCTCATATGTAGATATTGTATCATCCAAGGATGTGGCTTTCTACCGATGCAGTTCTGTTCCCTGAAAATGTGTTGGCTGCAAGCTGATAGCAAGAGGAATTGTCGTCTGCGTCCCTCTCTTGTTCCATTACTCGTTTCCTGTCTTGTTTTTCCTCATCACAATCTCTCATCTCAGTCTGTCTTCCGGTCTCCCTTTTCCTGCTCTCCCCTTCTGACCCTCATCTCTGACAATGCATTTTTCCCATCTCTCATCTTTTCCTCAGTCCTGATGGCTTTGTCGTGTTTGTCTTCTGTCTGTGAAAGCGCAGCTTTGTTTAGCACCAGTGACCAGAGGCATGGTGGATGGGTGGGGTGACGTATCGCCCCCTGGATAATTACAGTGGCTAAAGGGTCAGTGTGCGTTAAGTGAACGCATGAACACGCCACCATCACCCCACCCTTTAAGGGGCAGGGTCCTCCCTTTGATGAGTCCATTAGTCCGTGTTTTGTTTTCAACCCTTCATGCTGAGAAACATCACTGGAGCTTGACATGTTTTCCTTTCTTTTTTGTTCCTGCATCATGGTAAGCCTTTTATTAGAGACCTTTGATGTTTGTTTTCTTAAGTAAAGAGAAATCTGCCCACAAATGTCATTTTCTTTCCACATACATGCACTGCCTTGTGTTATTAGAACTATGTGTCATTTGTCAGCACTGCTTTAGTTGAATGTTTTGATATTTGCAGCATCAAAGGATTTTAAGATCCTGGGATTAAGAAACATTGATTGCATTATGAAGGTATTTTGGGATGCTACCAGAAAATAAAAGAAAAACACAAAAATTGAGAAAAATCTGACCCCTACTTCACACTGTAAGCATCGGTGGAACGGTTTGCTCACGAGATCACAAAATCCCTCAAGACTTTATGCCATCTGCCATTAAACCACCCCCACCCCCCCCCCCCCCAAAAAAAAAAAGGAAATCACATTTCATATTGCTGTTTGATGTCATGTATGATGCTGTTTCTCTCCAGATTAAAGCCATGAAAACCACACCGCTGCACTTCTGGAATGATGCTGGGAGTAAATAAGTCATTAGGTCACACGCATTGATGTAATACATAGATATTAAATCACATTGCTGCAAAAGTCTTTTATTTTGAAAATGACTGTGGATTTTTAACTGAACCCGTGTGTGATTTCCTGTCTAGCCCTAGGTTAACTGAGGAAATTGTCATGTCCCAGAACCGCCTCACGGCAAAAATAGAACCCGATCCTATCTTTAGCAGTGTGGTGAGCTGTTTCGGGGGCGCGCCTGAAAATTTCTGTGTCGCAGCTGGTTTGAATCACCCTCATAGACTATAATGGGTTCAATTTGAAGCTGCTGCCACTCCGCGCCGCTGATGCTCCCAGTGTGAAGTAGGGGTAAGACTGTTTGCAAGGGTATTAAAAAAAACGGTTCTTTTGCCTTAAAATACAATGTAAATCACAACAAAAAATAGCTGAATCTGGAAATTAAAAGCAAAAAATACTTTTAAGAAAAAAATACACCAATATTTTTTGTAGGACGGTGTTCTGACAGACGTCTGTATGCATTTGCTTGAGCGTCTGCTTGCATTTGGACCATTTGGGAAGGGGGATGGTAGAGCAGAACAGGTGTATGTGGTTTCTGCAGTCCCCATCTCATCAAGGTTTGTCATTTAACACACAGCTGCCCACACACAAGCACACAAACATCACATTTTCTGCAGAGACGTGTGCTGCCTCATTGCCAGGGGGAAGTCCTGTGCAATTAACCTGTGAGACATCTGCACCACCCCTCTCTATAAAAACCCTCCCTCCTCTCTCCCATCTGATACATTTCCCCTACAAATTATCCTCATTATATTGCTTTCGGTGAGTTCACATCTGATACTGAGCTACAGTCAATGTGTGTTCCAATTAAGTCATAGATTTTTGTCACTGTGCATTAAAAAAGAGGCTGTTGACCCGTAATCCGAACAGTGAAAACATAGACTTAATCATGAAACTGTTACCTAAAGAAGAAATGAAGTGATGGTGCCATTATCAATTATAGCTCACTGCAAAAAAAGCGAAACACTCAGATTAAAGCAACTCAGATCTACATCACATCAAAAATTTGCATATATGGACTCACTCATCTTGGCTTGTAACAAGCAGTGGCGGTTTTGCATTAGGCATAAGTCG